AGAGATCTGAGATTAAAGTCAGAGATCTGAGATTAAAGTCAGAGTTCTGAGATTAAAGTCAGAGTTCTGAGATTAAAGTCAGAGTTCTGAGATTAAAGTCAGAATTCTGAGATTAAAGTCAGAATTCTCACTTTTTCCCCCATACTAAACTGAAATAAAATTTAAAAATCAGTTAACTTTATTTTTTTTTCCAGTGGCCCTAATCCTCTTCCGTAAAATACAGTCATAGACAATAAGTTTGGATTTTCAAATGTATTGAATATGACAGTAGAACCCATTTAGCAGCTATTTTTTCCAATTCATCTCGAACTACGTTTTGTTTTCTACACAGTAAAACCCCACCGTGAATCTAAATTTTATGTGAACGGCGAGCAGAGGGTGTGGTTGCAACAGTGGGACCGTCTTACCTTGTCTCCGTACCTCGTTTTTGACCGCCTCCACGCCTCCATTTTTCTCAATGAAGTCGTAGATGGCCTTCGAGGTCTCTTTGTCCTTTAGCTGGGCCTCAGAGATGCCGGCCAAATCAAACAGGTTCTTCAGCTCTGGGTCCAGGTTATTCATCTAACAAACAAACACAGTTGAGAGAAAAAATAATTAAAAAAATGTTTTGTCCAATAACCTCAGAGGCTGCAAAGATCAGCCGTATTATACTAAATTTAAATTCATTTCTGATAAATTATTTACCCATACCGGATTTATGAAGGCAATTGGATTAAATTCTGTCTCTTTTAAAGAAATCCAAATTATACACAATTTAATTTGTGGTTACAGCCAACCAAAAATGTGGTAGAATACAAACTAGCCCCCTCCTAGAAGAAAAAATAAAATAAAAATCTGAATATAACTGAAAAATAACTCAAATTTGAATGGTGCATCTTTACACTAGCATAAATAGATATGTAAATTTAAAAGATTTTAGTAAAAAAAAAAAATGTCCTATCATCCTTTCATTTTTAGAGAAGTCATTTTTTTATTCAAAGCTGAAGGTCAGAAGACATTTTACTTGATGCATTTGTTTAATGTTTTGAGCTAAACTTCTTGGAAACGTCCTGAAATAAGAGACCAATATCTTTTGCTCTGGCTCCACCTAGTGGTGTATGCATGAACTGTATTGTTTTGCTCATCAAATCAAACCCCATGTTGGACAGTCCTTTAACACACTGTGATACTGAAGTTGAAATCAGAAGGTTTCATTACAGAATTACTGGATTACGATCTAGCCATTTTAATGATTATTCCCCTTTACATAAGGCTCCTCTCATCTAGAGTCAGTAAGTAACTGAACATGACTTGGCAAAAGCGCTTTAAATATTTAAAAGGAGAAAAGAACTCCCATTAAAACAGAACCATTATTCTGGAGCAAAAATAGCAACTGATGAATGAGCTACCAAAAAAAAAAAAAGAAAAATCTTAAGTCCTTGGCTTAATAAACCTGCATGAGCTATAATCTACCATCTTGGATCCAACAGTTTCCCCGATTGTTCTCTTTGGAACCTGAGCTGCAGATTATGCAGATGCAGGTTGGTTCTCTTCCCCCGCACGCAGCCCGGATTAGCGTTTAGAGGCTGATATTAAATTTCAAATAACCGCCTGACTGTCAGACGGATAAATTTTAAGAAGGTCTAAATGTCATGCACTTGTGACATGCGAAGACACGCAAACAAACATGAACTCTGAATAACTGCTGCTTACATCAAAGCCGGTGTTTGGATTCCATCCTACGTGATTGACATGCCTGTAAGAAAAACACAAAAAAGTACACGTTAATCCAGTAAGATCTAAACTGTTGTTTTTGGAGGAAAATTTAAGAAAAAAAATTTTGAAGCTAGGTTTAAAGAAAAGTTTAGGGCAAAAAGGAAAGGTTGAAGGAAGGAACAGAAGATGAGAAAGAATGCAGTGAAGGAGAATATTTAACCAACTGGACAGGAAATAAAGATGATCAGCTGTTTAAATTCCAATTAAAATCCCTTTTTTGTCCTTAACATCCATTAATCAGGTTATAATATCCTTGCAGTTAAGTAAGATGTTGGATCTAATCAGCTCAAGGTCATAGAACAAAAACTAAATGAGGAACTGGGTCGAGTTGACTGTATCTATCCATGACCTGGATCAACTTTAGGAGCAGCAAAGGTTACTCACTGGAAGTTGCTGGGTGTGCCGATGTCTGCCTTGGTCAGCCTCTTCCTCTTCCCCTTGTCTTTGTCCTTTTTGATCCTCCTGGGGAAGGAGGCGTGCATGAGGTTGTTCACCTGAGAGTTGTTGTGAAAGCGATGAACATTGTTGATTTCGGGGTTTTTGATGTCTGTGGTAGCCATGGGCAACGCCGGTCCTGGAGAAACGGATTGTACGGATATGGTGATGTTAACCTCAATCATTAAACAAATAAATATAAGGCATTTCAAACATTAAGCCTGGTTTTTACATTGTATATTCTGCAAGTATCAAGGCGACAGGCTAAAATGAAAATCAATTAGTTTTTAATTGTTTATACCCCCCCAAGACAAAAACTCCAATCTAAACTAAGGTATATTCTTTGTAGAGCAGTCTTAAACTGACAGGAATGAGCACCTTTGGGAAATCTCTACATTATAAAAGGACAAATATTAAGTTTTCTAATAGGACTTTGATACCAGTTGCCAAAACTTTGGTTAGGATACAAGTTTAAAGACATATTCTGTCTTTGTTTTGTTCCACTCTGCTTACTTGGACAGAGAGCATCTGAATTGTGGTTATGGAAACATTTAGGCGATGGTGACGCCGCCCGAGCGCATCGCCCTCCCACCCTGCCCCATTCTCCGACGTCTACCAGCATTTTACCAGCCAGGCTCTGAGCTCGTCCCTCTGCGCCAACGGGGCGGTCGGAAAGAGTTGGGTAGAGTTCATCCTGAGGGAGAACCAGGCAGTGAAATGAAGAAAGACAGCCTGGACCCAACCCACCACAACCAGCAGCTACCGGAGCTGCTCCTCCTACAACCCCACCCTCAGAATAAAGCTCCTCAGAGGGGGCAGAAAGAAAGGTTGTGCAGAACATCATTGCAGCTCTTGGACCGGATCCCAGGTGAAAATCAGCATTGATGCAAGAAAAATTTTAATTAAAGATGTGAAGCAGGAAGGACGTCCACTTAGACTTCCAGAGGTTCCAGTTTTCACAGCAAGGAGGATAGAGGGGTATACAGCCGGTAAAAGATGGGAAAATCCTCTGGTTTTTAGTCCCACTCTACAGACTTTGTCCACATGAACCTTGGTTGAAAAAGACAAGTTCACAAGCTGAACTAGAAAGGCAGATGTCCAGTATCACCAGCCAGCAGCTGACGTACATCCATCCCACTCCATTCCCAACTGGTGGGAGCACAACGCTCAGTTTGGCTTGCCAGGATGGGTTCGTCAGCCATGCTCCTCTACTACCAGCTCCTGGTCTCACCCTGCAAAACACGCAACTGCATCTAATCCCAGAAAAGGATTCTGGACGTACTGCTGCTGGCCTTTACGTAACCACTAAAACTTATCCGGGGCATAATCCCATATTAATCTCTGACGTTTCAAAAACACGATGATTCTACAGGATGGGGGGGAAAGGAGGCAGACAGTCAGAGACGGGATGAAAATGGGGAAAAGATTAAATGAGTGAAGGGGGGGAGCGGCTGAGGTCATCGATGAGGAGAGAATGGCTGGAACAGTAAAAGGTGGAAGGGAAAAAAAAGACTACAGCTGGGATGATGGGAAAATGACAAGTGAACATTTAACCCAAAACAAACAGCGGACATGAAAATCCTATGGACCTCTGTTAAAAAGCCAGCCTTTTCTTTTAAATGAGAGAAATCATTTAAAGTACTATTAGGTGTAGATTTCAAAGGCAAAAAAAACACTGGTTAGGTAAAATAAAAAAGATGCGATTAATTCCTAAATGGAAGATCCTGTTTGAAATGATTTTATTTGACTAGATAGATTTATTTTAAAGAGTTACTGCGTTGCCATAGTAATGACTGCTTTCCCTTCAAGTTGGAGAGAAGAGGCCACGCCATTCATGCGCCTTCCACAGCTGTGAGTGAGGGGTCCGCAAGCCATGGCTCTTTAGCGCCCCCCTTGCGGCTCCCTGGAACTTCTTAAAAAAATTTATGAAAAATTAATTTTTTTGGTTTATTTATTTTAATATGGTGTGCAGGAGGTCAAACAGGAATTCATTATGTTTGCTAATGCTGTAAACATTTGTATGATAAATACATTTAAACAATATATGTAAACATTTATTTCAATGAAAATCATAGCCATAGAGTTCAGTGGTCAAAGGCTGCAACACGTCTCAGCGCAGCGCGGTGCCAGGCAAAGAAAGTGTGTCTTGGGCCATTGATTGCAAAGGGAAAAAAAGGAAAATATCTGATGAGATTCAAAGTAGTATGGACCGAATCATTTGCTTTCCTTGTCAATGCGGAATGATTGCCTGCATTTTTGCTTTGCGATTTGTGAAATAATAGAAATATTAATTTGGAAAGGCATTTCCACAGAAGGCTAGATATGCAGGGAACACCAAGCTGGCAGTGAGAGAAAAAGTGCGATTGCAGAACTTCTGGATAAATTAGAGGAGAGCAAAGATAGATTTGAGAAATGGATTGCATCCCCAAACTCCACTACTGCTGCTAGTTTTGTTCCAAGCATGAAAAATAAAAATAATTTCCACAGATCAAAAATTGTGTTGTGCGCTGGTGACAGAGGATGTGGGATTTTGGGGTTAGAGAGCTCTGCCCTGACTCAATCAACTCCTCCCAACAGAAACACGTCCACCATAGAAAGATTCATTTATTGTGTTTCCATAATTTTATCAATGCAACAAAACTTAAACCGTGTGGTGAAGGGCGACGAAGCAGAGCGCGAAGAGAGCATTCACTGCTCCTCCCTAACTGCTATGTGACATTTGCTCCAGGATAAACATTTGATCATGAATGCTTATTATATATTTAAGCTCACGTAATCCTTTTTTTTGAAGTAGGCTAATACTTGTGGACCCCGTGTTTGTTTTTTTTTTTTAGGTCCAATATGGCTCTTTGAGCTGTTTGGGTTGCCGACCCCTGGGTAAGGGGACGTTTGGGATTTAGCCCATGCCACCAAACAGCTCAGTGATTACCTGTAGCCTTATATAGTACATAGGCCCACTGACTGATTACAAGATTGTAGACACCTGTGATACTAATTAGTGAACACACCTTGATTTAAGATTTCCCTTTGGTCACGTTATTTTCATTCTTTTCTAAGGTCACCATTTTTATTTAGGCCTGTTTTACATGCCCCCCCAAATTAAATGCTACATTTTTGAAGAATTGTTGAACAACAATGTCCAATTTTGATTTGCTAATTCTTATAGAATTTTTATTAACTTATTTTTAATATTAAGTTATTTCTGTTACCAAAGTATTTTTTTCATTTTCATTAATCGAGGGGTACCAACAAGTTATCCACATGTGTGTATAGAAATGACATCTTATAGTTCTTTTAGGCTGTTATAAAAAGGTTGCTTGCTAATGTGAAAACTTTAGCGCAACAAAGCCGAAAAGAAAAGGTACTCATTAAGGACGCTTAAAATATGAAACCATCTACTAATTAAGCACTCCCACTCCTGAAAAAACACAAACTGTATATAATGTATATATAAAAAAAAAAGTATTGAATAAATGATTAAAATAAAGCAAGAAAGGATCTGAGGGTATCTGGTTCAAGTATTTGGGTGTAATTGCTTACTGCAACCACAGGGGTGCGTTAATCACCAAGTTTCTGTCAGCAGCAAAATGGATTTTCACAAAGAAAAATTTAAAATGTAGGATTTGGATGTGGTATTCAGCATTTCAAAATAGACAATCAAAAACCTACCATTTGGAGGTTCTCGCCTCTTCTCTGTGAACAAAAATAAATCACATCATTACAATCCAGAGTTTAACTAGTCCTTCTTTTAATTAGTGGAGAAAGGAAGGGAGCGCCAAAGAGTGCGCAGATGTGGAAGAAGAGTGCCGTGATTTTGCATTTTCGGCGGAGGAGTCAGTAATTGGATTGGAGTCAGCAAGAAAACTGATGTTAGAGAGTTTAGAAGTCGAATCTTCCAAGTCACAGTTTGAAAAGATATACTTGTGCATAAAAAGCAAGGAAAACAAGGTAGAAAAGGTGACTTCAAAAATATGTTTGACTTCCAGAAGTTAAAGTTTGAAAAGGGAATGCCGTTAGTCATAAATTGCAGACGATTCAAAAGAGAAGAGATATAAAGACAATGAAATGAGCTAAAGAGTTAAAATGAAACTGGTTTTAAAATCAAGCTTGTGACGACAGCGGTGATGAAGAGGTGTTGATAAGTTTATAAAAGCACGGGGAAAGTAGAATTCCGAGGGAAAGATAAGACAGAGCATGGTCCAAAGTTTGAACAAAAAAAATTATAGTGGTGCTGAAGAATGAGTGTTGTTAGACAAAGATGACATTTTACTACTTTAGAGTAAACAATAAAGCATGTCAGCAAATAACAGCCTTACAGGATTTCAGTGCAAAAAAGATTAAATGGATCATATAGGTTTATTAAAGTCACAGGGATATATTTTAAGCTTTCAATTCAATCAATTTTAATGATTATGGCTTAAAGCTGATAAAAAAAAGAAAATGTGCTTTGAGAAAATTTGAAGTTCTTAAAAAATTTAATTTAAATAGAAGTATCAGCCAACTAAAACGACTACGCTCACGTCCTAAACAGTATCAGCAGTTTGAGTTGATTTAGGATCAATAACAGCATCAAGATACTTGTAATCTTTACTCTTCAATGGCTTTTCTAGTACAGACATCGACCATCTCCCCGTTCCCTGCACACCCATTATCAGCCATTCAACTTTCAAATGCTTTATTGGAGATGTATGATCTTAAAATCTTCTTTAAAAAATGGATTTTAAGTTTTCAGTATCAGTGAGATTTAAGTTAACGGACACTATCACTTAAAATAAATCCCTTTATGGAATGAATCTGACCTGAATTACTCAAATAGAAATTATTTTTTAAGATGTTTAAATTTAAGGAGAGGCACCTGTATCTTCCTGATTTTCTTACTAAATGTACACTTTTTTAAAGTGCGACATATGACTGAGAATGGAAGAGATTATTTAAGGAGAGGAACAGAGGAGCTAAAGAAAAAAAACAAAACAAATAGTTTTACTAAAATCAGCTCTTAAACATTGACAAGTTTAGACATGCATTTAATTCTGTGCTCCTAGAAGTTTAAATTAACAGCTGTTGTAATAATTACACAATAATAATTAAATAATTTTGAACAAGGTAAAAATTGTCATTGCACAGGATAAAATGCCGTAATCTCATCACTGTTTTTAGCCTAGCACACCATGAACTTTTCCACACGCATTGATGAGTTCACGTGATGGACCAAAACTCAGTAGCACAATATTCGAAAATGGTAGAAAAAGCAAACAGGAATGGATTTTATTTGGGGGTACATCCTTGATGTAATGATGTGCTAGTTTGTGTTGGAACATCTCATGAAATCTCCACCAGATTCAATAAGAAATGCGGCACCATCATGACAAAATGTGAAAAAGTTCAGAGTGTGTAAATACTTCTGTTAGGAATGGTGTGAGTGGTGATTTAAGCGGGTAAATAAGTAGCAAGGTGGTACCGGTTCTCCTGCTTTTCCTCATTGTCAGGTCCATTACGGTGTTATAGAAACGCCTGCACTCTTCTTCACTGGTGAAGTTCAGACCCACTTGGCACGTCTGAGAAAGCACATGGATAGAAAACAAAACGAAAAAAAATGTAGCCTCAGTTAATGACGCATAAGGCGAGTGAACGAAGCTTCACCGCCATCGTGAGCAATCCCACACACAACATGCTGCAAAGTGGGCCACTGCACCCACCAACATGTGACTCAACATATGGAGGTAAATCATCATGGTTTATCTTAAGTGGGAACACACCAATTATATGAAAGAACTACTCTTGGACACCAGGAACAATAAAACAGGTAGAGACGACTTACGTCTCCAGCAAATGTGATGAAGTAAGGTCTCTGTTGGTTAGCAGTGAATCCATTGTACAGTTCCTGTTCAAATGTCATCCTAAACTCCTGTGGAAGAGAAAAAAACAAGCTGTTATATGAACAAAATTAGCTCAGCAATGATCAGACTGATACAAAACACCATTAAGGCTATTCTTAGCTGCTAAGTGGGTGTAAATCACGTTTTACAGTCATAGTGGGCCCTCTCCGCTGCTTAAATAAACATATCAGCACCTACCCTGATGTCGTAGACCCTGATGAAATAGGAGCGTTTGGGGTTGTCTTTGACCAAACAGGCCGCCCCGCAGCTTTTTTTGTTCCAGCTGCCGTTACGGTCTGCGTGGAATACCTGGACCACTCCTGAAGCCAACGCCTAGAGGAGAGGAAGGATGGAACAGAATCAGGTTTCTGCTCTTTTAAAGATAACCACAGAATCAGACACGCATGAAAAAATACTGGGTGAGGTGATCATCTTCAGGATGATCAGAGGTTTAGTTATTTTTGTCCCCCGAATGTGATCTTCCTCAGAGATTTCCCTCAGCAGTGGGCATAGATGACAGTGAAGTTTGAGCCAAAAGGTCGAATCCATTACTGGAAAGCAGAGTTTTACTGAAATCATAGAGCCTTTCAAACAAAGCAGCCATGTAGGTCTTGATAATTACTTTACAATCATGTTAAGATAATCGCAGGTTTTTTTTTTTGGCTTATTACAGCTCAAATTACTTCAGAAAAAAAAAACCCTTTTATTACCTTTTATTCAATACAAACCACATTCTACTTTGGCGACAACAGTGGATCAACCCTAGTACCAAATATAAATCCATCTTTAATGCTTTCCATTTTTAAACGGCTCAAAACCTTCGTATAGATGAGATTATGCTAATGGAGACTGGATAACTGGAATAGTGGAGATCCGACTTTAAAATCTTGGGAAACTCTGAAGGATTTAATTTGGTTATATTAATACAAAGACAAAAACATGAGCCTTTGGCTGGAAACTACAGTGGCAAGGTTTATTGCAACACAACTGTTGAAATTTGCAGTTAAAAAAAAAATAAAAAAATGGAAAGTTCAATAATTTATCAAATAATTTTCTTCACCCCATCTATGAGCTTTGGTATCCGAGCCACTACAAAAACAGATCTGGTTTTGGCCTTAAGGGAAGGTCAAACCAATCCTTGAGGTTTCCATCCCCATCATACAGTTCTTTTCTTACTACTTTTCACTGCAGAACATGATGGTACACAGCAAAAACTTAAACATAGGTAGGTAAGTTTCTCTTGATATATGTGTTTTTCCATTCTATTTTAATAGGTAATAGAGTTCTCCAAAGGAATTTTTTTTTCCATTCATCGATTAATAATTGTACAGCCAAAAGGTTCCTCAAAGAAGACTTTTTACAAAATTAAACCAGGTGAAGGTATTTGCAACCTTTTCAGAGCACAAGTGCACTGCTCTATCCACTAGGCCATCACTCAATGGATAGAGCAAAATATTTACATATTTTAATTTACAATTTTGGTATAATTGCTGCTCCAACTGGGTTGCTTTGTCAGCTAAAGGCATGTTTTAGAGTCTCCATGCTTCAGTTTATGATTAATCGATTACTAAATTCATTGACGATTATTTCAATATTCGATTAGTCCGATTTATTGTTTCAGCCCTATTTAGGTTTAGAATTGGAAAAAAAAACAACTCCATTAGCTTACTTTAAAAGCTTCTTTCACAGTGAAAAGACCGGATTACTGCGTGTTTTTCAAACACGAGTCGACCCGGTAACAATCGGCATTTGGCTCCCCTCACACTGGCAAAAAAAGCTGGCTCTAATCTGTAGCTGGCTAGCTGTATGCCCTCTGTCCTCCCACAGCTGCACGTCTGGTGACACCATCATGTTGGGTTAGCGTTGATGATGTCACCAGTGTCTCAGAAACCAGGTAAGTAAACAATGGAGAGCAACACGTAAGGATGCAAGGGTGAGTAAGTGTGTTTTGCTCTTTTATCTGTCCAAATCTCTCTTACCAGCGCTGCGCCATGTTTATCGGATGTAAACAATGTTGTTTTGGCTTGTTAGATCAGACGCAACTGGTGCAGTGTGTTGAGGTCTGCAGGTTGAGCTAAATTAGCAGGTCAACCGGGCTCTGGTGTTCCCACAACACGCCGATCAGGGCGAAGGTGATTTTAGCACGGGTTGCTTGCAGAGTCGTTTGACCCTGGTAGACACGAGTCAGTGAGCTGTTCTCACCGCAACTAAAAGATGTTTTTTTTGGCCAGTGAAAAAGGGTATAAGTTAAAAAAAATACAAATGCTGATATTAAATAAACGTTTTAAGAAATGTTTACTTATTTTTAGAGCATTTCCTGTGTTTCCCCAACGCTGTCGGATGGTGACATCCTTTAGCTTAAATAATTATCTGCTCTAATCATAACAGCATTAAAGTACCCAACTAGAAAGGTATTAAAAGCAAAAAAAAATATTCATCAGAAGCCTAAAACACAAAAGGCTTTTACGTAACCCTAAACCTGTGTTCGCCTCCTCCTTTAAACCATATGAGGATAAGCAAAGCAGACTTCCCAGCAATCTCTGGAGCAGAATCTGCCATATCAACACATCGCATTGAAATTTGCAGCAGAACACTGAAGGCCTTCTTGTTTTCTTGCAAATGAAGCCACAGGAGTCTGACTTACAGAAAGCTCATCAGCTTCAGAGTGGAAAAGTCTGCCATAGGCTAACACCTGTAGAGCATAGAAGCAAGATCATAAGGCCAGATTAGCCTCCTATAGTTTTTACATGCTGCTTGGGGCGTTTGGGGCTTGGATCTGGTTTCACAGCCACTAAAACACACACACGCACAAACACACACACATGAAAGCAGGAGCATCAGGAAAGGAAATACCTGGTGGGGCTTTTGGTCTGCATTACTGCACCCAGTTCCAGGAATCACTGCTTACAACAACATCTGCTCACAAACTGCCCTAAGAAACTCAACAAAAAACGCCCAAAAGTGAGAAATTAAATGACATAGAAGCAGCATGTTCTTATTATGCTTGCAGGCCCTTTGGTAATATTATGCAACAGCTTTACGAGTATTTTTTTAATGCATCACAATGTTGTCAAAGAGCTTCATGTCTCCACAAAGCTCTGATTTTTCCTGACAAAGCTAAAGGCTGCAGAAAAAAAAAAAGGGGGGGGTTGGGGTGTGACATCACCAAACGGCCTCTTTATTCATGTACTACTTCTCCAACATAGCGATGATCCAGTGATGTAAGCCTAACTTCTGCACAGTCTGTCCTTATTTATTCAGATCAAGATGACTTCACTGTTCTAAAACCCTTGAGCTCTACAAGCCGTCTCTCTCTCCCTCTAAAAGCTACAGAGACATTAAGAAAAATGCTAAGGAAAGTATCGTAAATGTGATTTGCAGGCAGGCAAAGAAAAGAAAACTAAATGTCTAAAACTTAAGCTGTCTAAGCGAAATAAAAAATAGATGACTCAGGAAAAACAACAAACAGAAGGCAATGAGAAAATCTGAACCAGCAAAAAGAAAAAGAAAACAGACCCCCCCTTCCAATAAAAGAAAAAAAAGAAGAAAAATCCAGAGGAGGTCGACTATGAACTTCCTGTAGGACACGACTGCTGATTAGGCAGTCCACACAAACATGCATGCAGAAGTGGAGCTGTTCCACCATTTGCCCAATGAGACGCCACTTCTGATGCTGGAACCAGCAGGAGGAATACTAATGAGTAAACCAATCAGTGAGTTCGTTGTTAGGCATGTACCTGTCAGTGTCTGGCATGTCAACAAGATTAGAACATCACTATAAAGAAAATCAGACACATTCTGTCCCATTAAGAACAGCTACTTTGATTCTTGCCTTTGAGATATAAAACTTTCATCCAACTAGGAATGAACTAAAACCTGAAGGCTGATATGTGCGCTTCTATTTTTTATTGGAACAAGATCACAAAATCAGAATCAGTTTTATCATCAACCCATCAAAGATTGAAAATACAATAAAAACACAGTTCCTACAATTTTATAGGTCCAGATTCCAGACTTTTCCTAAACATCTTCCCAGAATCAGCAGTCCTTTACTGTTCACTTTAAACTAATAAAAAATTACCATAACTATATGGAAAAAGAGGAAATAAAGAACATATGGGACATGTAGTAGGAAGGAAACAAAAGAGGAAAGGATAAAGTGAAAAAGTTGGCATGAATCACAGAAAGAAAAAATAGGGAAACGAGGAAGTCGGGAAAGAGAGAGGAAGATAAATTTAAAAAAGGATATAGACAACAAATATATGTTATTATAAGGCTGATTCTTCGAGTGTTTACACAAGGAGAGTAAAGATGGAAGGACAGAGGCAGAAATAAAGAAGGACACAAGGCCTGAAAGAAAGGAACAAAGGAAAAAGATAAACATCACAGGTACTGAGAATCAGAAGACCAGAAGAGGAGAATTCTAAGAAAGAAACAGAGGAAAGAACCTAAGCGAGGAAGGAAGGAGTCCTGCAAAGAGAAAGAAACCACAAAAAGGAACAAATATTTCCCCAATTCTCTTCTTCTATACCAATTCAGAGCTGGAAATACAGGAAAGGCTGGAATCGAAACATGTTTTCTCTGCCAACTTTTCCAAGACCTTGTCCTTGTTTCTTAATAATCAGAAATGTTTAGAGGAATTTACTTCCTGCTTCCACTTTACCGCAACAGGTGGAGCAGAGGAGTCAAACTCCAGTTCTCAGGGGCCAGAGTCCGGCTACTTTTAGATATGTTGGTGCTTTATTACATCTGAATCAATCAATTACATTTTTGTTTTTCCTCTACACCCTCGAGGTTGAGGAAGAGAAGGCTAATATCTGCTCCTTAAAAAAAAAAAAAAGGGGTTTACAGTAAATTAAGCACAGCACCAATCCCAAACAAATGTTATTTATATACTTTACAAGATAAAAAAAAAGCCCATTCATATCCAAATATAAGGAAGCAAGCATAGATTTTAATTAAACTCAATTCTTTTCTCATAATTTACTGTAAAAACAGACTGCTGAGACAGGAGAAGTGACTAAACAAAGAGGACTCTGTGTTTCTTAGATTTCCTGCATAATAAGTGCATTACATAATGTGCAATAATTCTGCAAGCCAAGACATCACTCACTGTTGGCCATTTTAATTGGATCTAGCATGGAGACACAACGTCAATCACCCCCAGTCTCCCCTTCCCTACCATTCGTCACTCAGTCACAAACACTTTGTCTCTGCATGGGACACAGAAACACACAAGAGTGTGGAACTGGGGAGGAATGTTCCCCATTCTCCGGTCGCATGCTGCCAGATAACATAGCCAGGAAGCCAGAGGCACGTCGTCACTGGATTTCAAACAGGTTACTAAGCTGTAGGCCACACCTTAGAAACCTGTGCTCTTGTGTAAAGAAATGAAAGGAGGTTAGGCATGTCACCGTGTGACCTCATGCAGGTCTGTCATGAGACAGGAAATGTGGGCTTTCCCAAAGCGATCAGTCTCTGTGCACACCTGGAACCGTGGTTGGTTCACCTGCAGCGAGTTGATCCACGTTTACAAAGAGGAAGAGATGGAACGGCTCACTGGCCTGAGCACCTTTATTGTACAGAATTACAGGAAACTATTATCGCCACGAGGAAGTAACCAGATAATAGACAGTGTTAAATCAACTATGAAACTGCAGGAAAAGATTTCAGCTGACTTTAACCAAAAATCTTTTAACCCACACTGACTGGAGAGCCATTTAGAAAAAAAAATGTCTTGCTGCTGCACACTGCAAGACAGCTGGCAAAAAAACAAAACCTTTTCTCTGCTTTCAAGCAACATGAATCAACCCGTTCACAAATGTTTCAACTTCACACGAAGAAAGATGCACAATACATTAAATTCCAACTATTACTGCAGCTTTTATGAGTGCAAAACAGCAACAGTAAAGGACAGGTGGATGCATGCAAAATCTGGCAGCAACACATCGGCATTGTACTAGCCTTGATAGAAGAATCTAATATTTATGTTTGGGGTTGAGAAAGCATGATATAAAGAAAAATAAAAAAAAACAACTGCCACTGAGAACAACTTTATAAACAGAAAAGCAAACAGGTGACTTATTTTGAAACAGAAGACGTTTAAAGGGTGAACCAATGAAATATCTTTTTAAGTTTTACTTTGGTAATGCTAGTTTTAAAATCTTACATGTTTCTAGGAGGATTAGAAAAAATTGTTACTTTTCTGTTTTAAACTACTGCAATGAAATGATCTATCCTGGAATAATTTTGACAGATGTCACAATTTAAGGATCTTATGCTAAACCATGGATATTTAACAGTTGTGCACAAAGACCTCCTTTCTTTTTGAGTCAAAAATGTAGTGAAATAATAGGCTTTATGTTTTAGAAAAAAACTTTTATTTCTACTTTTACAACCTCAGCTCGTCATCAAGTTTAAGGCAAATGATGCCTACAGGCGGACCAGAGCAAACATTAGGATGGACATGGAACTATGATCTTAAAACAAAGTCAAAAAAGCTACTTTAATACCATCAACTCTTCAACGTATAATACACTATTTTATTGTAAATCATTAAATGTTTGCTGTTGCAAAAAGCAGCATAAGTTCAGGCCGTCGTCCAAACTATTGATCTAACATCAGAGAGTTATTTACAAGCATTAATAAATGGGATCTAATAAAAGGTATCAGTAAGGCTCGGCCTTTGACTGCTAACTAATGGATGCATTACTTCAACTCCTCCTTGCTTTTGCTAACAGCTAATACTGTAAGGACAGCTGGGTAATCAGTCAGAAAAATACTTTGCAAGAATTGAATCATATCACCACTTTTGCCACAGAAACAAAAATGGCAGAAGATCGTTTTCTGATTTTTTTTTTTTTTTTTAAACATTTCTAACTGGGCTTTAAGAAAAAAAATTAATAAAATTAAAAAAATTCAATTTCTTAAGCTTTGCTTTGCTAAAGGAAACTTAGTTTGCTATTTAAGGTTCATAGAGATGAGGAAACAACATTTAAAAGCAAACAGCAGCAGTGTTGTGTTACTAAACTCAATGATTGAGGCTATTGTCGATATTTTTTTGTATTTTTTTCCACAAATGGAGCATTTACCTTTAATTTTAAGACAAGAAATTCAAAACAAATCTATTAAATTGCTTATAACTGTGACTTTCTGGATCTTTGCATCATCATCTGTCTGAGACGGTGTCCACAGCTTTAAAGAGTAAAATTCATATTTCACTCTAAAAAAATAATTATATATTTTGAAGGTACAACTTTATAGTTATCTTTTCCACTGGAAATGGAAACCTCATTTTAAAACATTAACCTAGTTGCAAATTTGAATGTTTTTTGCACTGCAGGAAACGTTTTAACAGTTTCAGTACCAATGACCCCAATAATTTATATATTTTTTAGACCTAAATGGAGACTCTAATCAAAATCAAACAGATATAGGGTGTTATAAGAAGTTTTTCCCCACTCAACTTAAGTATAAAAGTAGATTATGGTTTAACACCATGGAGTAGAAATAGTTCAATGACAGCTAATAAAATGGATAAAATTAATCTCAGCATCTCCATTCATAATCCCACTACAATACGATATTGTCCTTCCTGAGGGAGGAGAGACAAAGAGCAATATAAAAGAGCTTTAGCAGTTTTAAATATGTCCAGCATTGCTCTTTGTCTAAGCATTTGATTTGTTTCTAAAAGCCTTAATTACATTGCAAGTCAACATTTCTGCTGCATCCAACTGGTATCATCCGACATAAAAAAAATGTTATTGAATATTTTTTAATTGTGCAAAGAGACTGCATTTAGATTTAAACTTGCTGGGGTGAGTGGCCAGAGGCGTAGCCAGAACATTCTTATAAGGGTGGCCAGGCAATAACCAATGTAGACAGAGGGGTGGCCGAAAGAAGATAGGCACCAAAATCTCAGGGTCAATCTACACTGTCCCAACAGGAAAATTAACGAGCAAAACATCCATGTTTTCTAGATAAAGACGAACTATCCTTTCCCACAGCCTCTGCTAACAAATAGACGAATATATTCAAACACCCGTGCTTTCTAGATAGAAGTATAGTGGATAAAACTCTGTCAGGTTTGAGTTTTGGGCAAACATCTTTTCCTTTGTCTTTACTTACCTATTTTTATCAGTAATCTTTCTTCATAAATTGATATTTACAAGTACTAATATCAACATAAATTGATTTTTTAATAAGTTTTTATGAAAATAGGTATTTATCTATGACTTTACTGAAGACTCCTAGATGACTTTTCTCTTTACCCCATAACACACAAAATCTATTTCTGCTTGAATTTTGTACTTTAATATTATATATTGATGTGCATAATTAACCACAGTGTTTTTGTTGTCAAGTAATTGTTAATAGAGGAAAAATATAAATGTTTTTAATATTCCACTAGGGTGTCTTGGGCTATGTTCACACTGCAGGCCTTGATGCTCACTTCCGATTTTTAGTGAAATCCAATTTTTTTTTTGCATTGCCGTTTACATTTCCAAATATACATGACTTGTATGTGATCTCCTGTTTGAACTGCGTTCATACAACCTAAGTGTCCCGCATAGCAGTAGAGGACGCAATGACGTCACAAGCAAGCGTGCTCTGTATTTATGGAAGTGAACATGGATGGTAGTGCCAGAGAATATCTAGCGATCTTTCCCAACCTTAAAAACTCAATCTTTCCAAGATGGTTAAACATAAATACTACTCTCCACATCATCATCCACCATTGTTGTTTTTCTTGACACTTCTAGGTAGCAAGAAGCAGAAGAGTGACCACTGTATGGTATTAATGACGTTCAGGTCGGATGAATGTGACCTGGCTGTTCAGACACAGGTCGCATTTGAAAAGATCAGATTTGGATCGGATTCAAGCAGCCTGGATTGCATTGAAAAAAAAAAATCGGATCTGTGTTGTTCAGACTGTCATAAAAAGATCAGATCCAGGTCGCATATGGAAAAAATTAAAAAATAATCGGAATTGGGTTATTTCAGTCTGCAGCGTAAACGTAGCCTTACTGTTGCCCCTATCTGTATTAGAGGGAAACAATGGTAAGGGTGGCCACAGATTGGCTAAGGGTGGCCATGGCCACCCCTGGCCCCCCATCTAGTTCTGCCCCTGCGAGTCCCAGGGGACCAACCATGCAAGAAGCGTCAAGCACCGTCAATCAGGATGTGGGAATAAAGCAGTTAAATGAAGAATGTCTTATGTAATATAGGATTATCTAGTGAAACTGAATAGTGACATTGCACTGTCATCTCAGCTGAGGTCATGGTGCAAGAACAGGAGGCTACTCCCAGATTTTAGGGTCTGCTTTCCATTGGGAAGAGTTTTTCTAAAAAACCACCCAGCTCTGCTCCACTGCACATTCTTCTAGGTGGACGCACACTTCCCGAAAACAAGCAGCCACGTTATGTAATGAGAATACAGAAATCACTTCTTTTTTTCCCCCCCTCTGATTGGTTTAACAGCACCGGCTGTGTTAACTCCAGACTCGCGGCGGTTAGCCTACTGAAGGCGGAATGTCAGGATTTCCTGGATGATTTCAACTCCCAACTTTGATGTAAACCAAACGGAAAGTTTTCTTTTAAAACCCCCAAAGTCCAAAAATTCCCCAAGAATAATCACTTAATTGACTTAGAAGTCGTAAAATCGTAGGGCACGAACTCACAAATCAGTTATCAGGACGTCACAAGTTAGCAGCATTAGCCACATTTCTTAGCCAGCTCTTATGCAAGAATCCATCAATATGAACTTACGAGGCGTTTGGGGCCAACTTGGTTAAAAAGGATTTCATTTTCCTGCGGGGACAGGACTGTGGAGCCGACGTTGGATTGCCGCCGCTGCGGCGGTATTCCACTCATTATTCAGGCTCAGTTTATGAAGTCTGCGCCCACTGACTGCTTGTAGGAGCCCAGCAAAGAGACATAAACAATCGCCCGGTCATCCGTGGCCTGTCTCCGACTCCTCCACCGGGCGCTGAAGTATTCCGCTCCTCCGCCGAGATTAAAGATGCACGGAGATTAAAGAAGGCTTGCACGGTGTAGGAATGTAGCGTTGACGTCTCCTTGATCCCTGCAATGAGGTCGAAAATGAGACAGCGGAGCGAAGACGGGACGAGGTGAAAACTTTCCTTGTAAGTCCTGCCGTTTTAGAAGCCTGCCAGCTCCATCCAACATGGCAGAGTTAGAGTGGCTCCAAAATCTGGGAACGGGGGGATACGGTCTTCCCTTCATGTCCGAAATAAGACAAAATAAAGTTAAATAGCTTTACAAATCATTAAGGGTATTTAATAAATACACTGTATAATTTTTAATATTCAATTAAAATTTACAGGATATATTATACAACACATAGAAAACAAATGCAACCCCCTCACCCCTCCAAGATGGTTTGATCCTGTCCGCCAGTGGCTTCTGACAGGAATGTGTACAGAATTGGGAGGAGATAAGGAATAAGGTAAAGCAGCACATATGTCATAAAGCTTCATAAAAAAGGGAATTAATAAAGCGAGAGATCTAATTCCTTTAGCATATCAGTGTATACAAGCTCACAAAGAATAATTCATTTATTTTCTGCCCTAAGAAAATATTTTTAAAGTTCTTGAAATTTAAAATGTGAAAAGTGCCACTTCTTCCCGAATTTTCTTTATTTTATGGGATTTTTCCCCACTTGAAATAAAATATTTGATTCAATAAATTTACAACCAGCTATAAATAGCCTTCAAATTAAACAAATTATTTATAAATTATTATAATTATTAATGCTTCACTTACTGAGGTTTGCCTTAGGGATGACAGAGCTGAATCAGATGAGCTTTACAGTGAATATTTAGGTCAAGCATAAGAACTTAATATAACCTAGTCAACACATGGATATAGTCTAGTATAATTTGTTACTAATTGGGCAATGGCTTTCCTCCATGAGACCTACTTTACTTGATGACATAAAATCCTTATTGGCAAAGCACACTGGGCGTTGCTATAACTGTAACTTAAATGGCTATAAGGGTCATTTTGCAAAATTATGAGTTCCATTTATCCAGACTTGTGTTGCATCAAATTTATACAGGAAGGTAACATGGGGGGGAAATAGGAAACACTTAAACATTCCTATTTTGGAGCCATGTCCATATTGGTCCCTTACAGAAATGTTGGCTGTTAAGCTTCTATTGTTTCAAAACATGAAGCTATTGATAAGCTCTAAAACAAAGGCTGTGTCTCTTGTTTTTGCATATTTTAATAATGCACCTCGGGATATTTGTCCCACTGAGCAACTCGCTGAGTCAGGCTCACAAACTAAAGCTCTTTGTGACACTGAGTTTCATTTTGTTTGTCATTTTGATCCATATACATTCAGGCTTTATTTAAATCAACAGATAAAATTTGAGGTGGTATAGTCATATGTTCGCATCCTATTCATGTGTTAAACATTATATTTTGTTAGGACATGTCAGATTATTGCACATGTCACTATAAACGTAAATGTTTTAACTGGTTAATAGAAACTTATATTAACATTTTAACCTCAAATCCTAGGTACCACCAAAAGGAGGAGCTGGGGGGCAATGGCTTCTATAAATTTGCTTAATTGTCCACTATCCCCTTTGTAAAAAGTCACTAGCACATTTTATTGCATTTCTATTTTTGAATTAAAAGTTCCAATAATATTTTTTTATTTTTCATTAAGAAAACAACTCCCAGTACAGCAGCACAGTAGACTCTGATATTCTTTTAGTGTTTTTTTTCTCCCACAACCATCCCAAGATCATAAGTGTCATCATTAAACCTCTCTGAAAACATTTTATGATGGCCCCTCCTAAATATTAATGAAGATTGCATCGAACATGAGAGTGAATTAGAACAAATCTTTCCACTGAGATACAAGTTTAAGCAAGTCTGTTCCTCCCTTCATTATTACTCAACAGAGTCTCATCATTTAGAAAAAATCTAACCAAACACAGTTCAGTTTCCATATTTCTTGTGTATATAGGATTGAGCTTCCCTGTTTGCACATACATATGAGAATATTTCACATTTTATCAATGGACATGTAAAGAGTTGTGTCACAAACCACGTTTTGTTTGGGTTGACCCATTTTCTTTGGGTCAGGATGGATTTTATTTTAATGAATAATCATTATTCCTCTTTCTTTAGCTGATTCTTTATATTCTTCAGCAAATCTGACCCAATTCTCTGCCTTAGCTCCATATTCAGCAAGTCTCTAGTATTTTTCTCCCCCTGAATAAAAGCTACCATTTGCTTTTAGTCGGACCTGAAAAACCCGACCTGCAGGTGCAGAAACACCTGAGGAAACAGCCTTGCTCCGCCTACACAAGCTCTGCTATGTAAGTATCATTGTGACTCAACCCGAGAGAGCTGCTTGACTTTTGCTCCTCTCCCTATTCAGACATGTGATGTCATTTTAAGATCAGGGGAAAAGATACTAAAAATATGAAAACATGCTCATAAGAAAACTAGTAAAATGATATGAGATTTCTGAGTAACAGCCTTCCTCTTATTTCAAGAGCCAAGCTGGGTTTCAGTGTGAGAATGTTAAAATGAGTTCCCAGCTGGTGACATGTGATGATGAATATGTTGCTTTTGATTACAGAACACAAAACCCGTTAACGCCAGTTCCACCCGCAGCCTTCCTCGCTCGACTGGGAACTTAGCTGGATTCACTTCCTTCTGGTTCATGAAACATATTTTCCAAGTTTTACAAGCTTTTCTTTCTAGTTTTTTTTTTGCAAAAAAAAACATGTAAATTTAAGTAAGGAAGCAAAAGCTGCATGCAGTCACATGACATACAATGATATAGATCAGTTGGTATGATATTAGCTTCCACAATGACAAGTGTAAAAAAAACATAGTGTATATCTTTTTTGCTAAAATTATTGTATTGTAAATGGGGTATATGGAGGCATTTGCAAGAATATATATTTTATTTTACAAAATAAAATTATTTTTATATCCTGTCAGTTTGCAACTGCTAACTTGAGTGCATTTCCTATAAGCGATGACTCTAAATAAATATTTGTTCTAATATGATGTATTGTTGAAGTGTTTGTAAAGCCCTGTAGACATGCATCAGAACATCTTCATTTGCCTGTGGTTGAAGCATTTGTTTGACCCAAAAGATTATGAGATATTAAACAAAGAGGGTAACATGAATATTATATTGTGCTCTGCTGAGTAGGACATGCCTTGCAGGCTTCTTCATGAATGTTTAACCATGCCCGTCTTTTCCGTTCTCTTTACATTGTTTGATTCTGCAGATTTGTGGGTATGTCATAACAGGGTCAGGCCAACGCGTTTGTTCAATGCGAGAGGTTTCGATCTGCTTTGAAATTAAGCAGGCGATAAAAAAAATAAAAAAATAAAGTAAAAAACAGAACGTAAGCTTGATTGGTGAAAATAAGGAAGCAAAGATCTGAAGATCCCAGCTGGACTGAGTCTCTGTTGCTCTTCTTACCTGTTTTTTCTCTGTTTGTTTTATGAAAAAGTATAAAGATTAATTATTCTATTAATCTGTAGATCATGTGTCAGTTACAACATAATAAAAAAATAGAAAAACGATGAAAAAAATAAATCACCATGGGCATTATTATGCTTAACTTCAATATTTTGCATAATTTTTTTTTTACTTTTTTACTTTACTTTTTCCAAGGTGAATAATAATACGAGAAAGAGATTGAATAATAATAAAAAAAGAGGATATGTTGAAAAATCAAAATTTTCTCTGGTGCACACAATGAATCTAAAGCAGAGCAGGATTACTCAACTAAATACACATCTTTAAGATATATTCCATGGTGATAGTTTGTGTATAAAAGTTTGTTGTTGCTGGGTAAAAAGTTACTCCAAGTAATTAGTTGTTAATTATTGTTTTTTTAAATATAAAAAAACTTAAAATGATGCATGAATGAATAATTGCTATTCCATCAACCAACACAATTAAATCACATTTGTGGTTTTGGAAATATTAGTAGCATTAAACAGGCTATAAGAGGCTATAAAAGGTTTAAAACAAACCCCTGCAGTGTTCAATATAAAGCATTTTGTCTTTTTGAGAAATAATATATTTATATAACACTACTAAATGATAATTTGATTTTTGAACCTTTCATAATAATAATGTATTAATTTTTATTCAGTTAAAAAAAAACGATCAGCAACACCTGTTAGTTGTGGTCCTTATTTGATAGATATCAGTTTTTTCATTTTCACAGTTTGACCACAAGGTGGCAGCATTACACAACTTACTTAGGGCAAGTTGGAGGCTTCAATATTTCTTTAACCCTTTAAATCCAAGTGAGGTTTTGAGACTTCTGCATAATAAGTATAATATTTTTGTTATAGAAAACCCACTTACACAATCAGACACATATAGTGAACAAAAAAATCTATAAAAGATTACACAGAAATGCGTAATGTATCAGAAATGATGCAAAATAAATAAATAAATCTAATTGAATTTACACAACATTTATGTTTTTTTTTTCATTTGTCAAAAAGTTTAATCACAACTCTAATTTGACAAAAAAAGAAAAAAAGAAAATTAGTTCATATTCCGGGCTTACATTTTTGCACACAATTTATTTTTCTTTGTTTCTTGAGTGTTTTTATTTCACCATGGTATCAGATTTATAAATCAGCAAACCTTTAGCCTTTTACTTAAATGCAAATAACCAACATTTTTTTTCAGTAACTTCATAACATAGCTTCTCTATGATTAAGGAAATCACCTGTGAATGTTTTTGTCCTTCATTTTAATGCCTTCAGGGAAGTGATAAATACAGTCTAATCTTATCTAATCTAATCCAATCCAATCCAATGGGGTTATTTCACAATTCACAGTCATATTTTAAGTGAAGTATTTTCCTTGCACCTTTTTTATAATATTTTGTTTTATTATGACAAAATATTTCAATTTATGTAGCTAGATAGTTTTTTTTTTTACAGTGCTGAAAGACTTGATCTGTTGGAATATGCACTTGATTAGATTGGTTCCATCTTTGGTTACTTCTTCAAGGGTTTCCACTCTAGAGATCCTGTTTTCTGGGGAGTTTGGTTTCTTTAACGTAAGAATATCCTGCTAAGGTAGTGAACCCCCACCCTGACACACAGTCTACTAGGGGGCTCACACCCTGTCTTGTTCTCTTACACTATTTTGCAGGT